CTCTTCATCAGGGCAGAGCCCTAATGACCTAATCACCTCTTCAGTCACCTCTTCAGGGTTCCCCCTCTTAAAACCGGCATGATGGCAATTAAACTTCCTTCTTTCTTATGTGTTTATTTTAAACTGACAGATAACATTGTGTGTTTTTGTTGTGTACAGCGTGATTTGTTGAAGTATATATACATTGTGGAATAGTTAACTAGCTAATTAACAAATGCATTACCTCACAGAGTTCTCATTTTTGTGATGAGAGCATATAACATTCACTCTTTATATTTTTCAAGAATACACTATATCATCATTAACTGTAGTCACCTTGCTGTACAATTAGATCTCTTGAAATTTATTCCTCCTGCCTAATTGTAAGTATGTATCTTTTGACCAACATTTCCCCAACCTCCTTCTCCCTAGCCACCCCAGCCTTTGGTAACCACCATTATACTCTCTACTTCTGTGAGACCAACTTTTTAAGCTTCCATATATAAGTGTGATCATGCATTATTTATATCTCTGTGCCTGCCTTATTTCACCTAGCATAATGTTCTCCAAGTTCATCCATGTTGTTGAAATGACAGGGTGTCCTCCTTTTAATGGCTGAATAGTATTTCATTTTGTATGTGTATATATATATGTGTGTGTTTAAGTGTATGTGTATATGTGTATACACATACACTATATACACACACACACACACACCACATCCACAATTTTTTGGTTTTTTTTGAGACAGAGTCTCACTCTGTCACCCAGGCTGGAGTGCAGTGGTGCAATCTCGGCTCACTGCAAGCTCCACCTCCCAGGTTCACGCCATTCTCCTGCCTCAGCCTCCTGAGTAGCTGGGACTACAGGCGCCGATCACCACGCCCAGCCAGTATTTTTAGTAGTGAGGGAGTTTCACTGTGTTAGCCAGGATGGTCTCGAACTCCTGACCTCGTGATCCACCCACCTTGGCCTCCAAAAGTGCTGGGATTACAGGCGTGAGCCACCACGCCCAGCCCACGTATTTTTTTTTTATTCATTCGTCTGTTGGTGAACATCCAAGATGATTCTATACCTTGGCTATTGTGAATAAGGCTGCTATAAACGTTGGAGTGCAGATACCTCTTTGACATACTGATTTCATTTCCTTTGGACACATCAACAGTAGTGGGATTGCTGGATCATATGGTAGTTCTATTTTTAATTTTAAAGTAATTATTGAGGCCTGGCACAATGGCTCATGCCTGTAATCCCAGCACTTTGAGAGGCCAAGGTAGGCGGATCATTTGAGGTCAGGAGTTTGAGACCAGCCTGGCCAAGATGGTTAAACTTCATCTCTACTGAAAATACAAAATTAGCTGGGCATGGTGGCACATGCCTGTAGTCCCAGCTACTCGGAAGGCTGAGGCAGGAGAATGGCTTGAACCCAGGAGATAGAGGTTGCAGTAAGCCGAGATCACGCCACTGTACTCTAGCCTTGGTGAAGGAGTGAGACTCCATCTCCAAACAAACAAACATATATACATACATTTTTTGGGTGGGTTGGGGCAGGCACAGAGGCTCATGCCTGTAATTCCAGCACTTGGGAAGCCGAGGCATGTGTATCACTTGAGTTCAGGAGTTTGAGACCAGCCTCGGTAGCATGGTGAAACTCTGTCTCTACAAAAAATACAAAAATTAGCTGGGCATGATGGCCTGCACCTGTAGTCACAGCTGCTTGGGAGGCTCAGGTGGGAGGATGGCTTGAACCCAGTAGGTGGAGGTTGCAGTGAGCTGAGATCATGCCACTACATTCCAGCCTGGGTGACAGAGCCAGATCAGTGGTGAATTCTGATATTTTAGTGCACCTCTCACCTGTGTAGTATACTACACAAGTAGTGTGCTTATACTCAATGTACCCAATGTAGTTTTTTTTCCCCTCACCCCTCTCCCCTCTCCCAACCTTCACCTTGTGAATCTCCAGAGTCCATTATGTCACTCTGTATGTCTTTGTGTCCTCATAGCTTAGCTCCCACTTATAAATGAGAACATACAGTATTTGATTATCCATTCCTATGTTACTTCGCTTAGAATAATGGCCTCCAGCTCCATCCAGGTTGCTGCAAAAGATGCTATTTCATTCCTTTTTATGGCTGAGTTGTATTGCTTGGTGTATAGATACCACATTTTCTTTATTCACTCATTGATCAGTGGACACTTAGGTTGTGAATTCTCCAGCTCATATTTTCAGTTTTTTGAGGACTCTCCATTTTGTTTTCCATAATACCTGTATTAATTTACATTCCCACCAATAGTGTATAAGTGTTCTGCTTTCTTCACATCCTCACCAACACTTGTTATTGTTCGTCTTTTTGGTAATAACCTCTCTCAGTGGGGTGAGCCAGTATCTCACTGTGTTTTTGATTTGCATTTCCCTGATTAGTGATGTTGAGAATTTTTTCATATACCTGTTGGCCATCTGTATGTCTTCTTTTGAGAAGTGTCTATTCAGGTCGTTTCAGTGGCTGTTAAATTTCAACATGAGTTTTGGAGGGGACATTCAAACCACAGCATCAAACTTTAATCTCTATTACATATGTTAATATTTTTTTCCTCTCAATCAGGGCACTCACTCTCCAGTTTGCCTCAGATATTGTTTTCCTATTACTTGAATGTATTTACATTTGAAATCCCCAGTCCTCACTAGAGTTGGAGATCCAGGCATGCGGGGAAAAAATGGTATTTCTTGGAGACTTGAGAACACAGATAAGACTAACAAAGGAACTGTTGAATACCATCAGTGCCACCAGATTCACCCACTAGATGCTTCTTTTTAATAAGGTTAAAACATTTGTAGTAAGAAAATTCTATTAATATTTATTTTCTGCATTTTAATCTCTTCAAGGACTATGTTTTATTTGTCTCAGTCTTTTCAGATAATGTTGGTGGTTAAAAAACTGAAAGCATTAGTTTGTATTTTTAAAATGTAAAATTAAAACACTTGATGAATATGTAGCTTGAGCAGTCTGTCAAAGCCATGACTCTGAGAACCAAACCCAATTCTAAAAATGTTTATCTGATGTTATCACAGAATATATTTTAAAACTGGAGCCATCTGCCTTCCAAAGTTTATCTCCGCTGCACCTGCGCTCAAAAATACTTCTGCCTACACACAGGAACTATTGTTTAAAGATTTTGCTGTTGATTCAGCATGGAGGCTCTCCAGGAATTATTCACACTTTAAATTTATTTTAAAAAATAACGAATGCATACTATAAAAAACAAAACAGAAAACCCCCCAAATTCTACAAAGACATACAGGAAAATTATATCTTTTCCCACCTCTATCTGTAGTCCCTCTTACCAGAAATAACCACTGTTACAAGTTTCTTGTGGATCCCTCCAAGGATAGTCTCTGAATATACACATGCATGTGTGATGCACATGCGCACACACGCAAAGCCTCCTTTTTCTGCACATATGGCAACATATTGTATATGCTTTTCAATACCTGTTTTGTTTTCATTTTGTTTAACAAATCTAAGGAGAGTTTTTTGGTATCAGTATATCTGCACTATTCTTTTGGCTCATACTATGACATTATGTGAATGTTTAATCATTTAATCAGTTTCTTACTGATGAATAGGTTTGCAATCTTTCTACTATAAACAGCACCACTAAGAACATTCGTTTATGTCTGTCTTTGTGCATGAGTGCACTTCTATAGGACAAATTTCTAGAATTGGAATTATGGGGTCAGAAAGGTATGTGCGTTTTAAATTTTATTTGTTACCGTTCAGTGGCCCTACAAAGAATTACCAGTTTGCATTTTATTCGTGTATAAAAGTGCAGTTTTCTAACACCCTTGCCCAACCGTTTTATCAGATCTTTTGCCAATCTGATAGATGAAAAATGATGTTTTACTATGGTTTTAATTTGCCTTGCTCTTGTTATGATCCAGCATCATTTTGTCCAGGAAAGAACACTAGCTCAGGACTGCCAGGCAGACAGATGTGGACCCCGCTTGTTGGCCATCATTGTCATCTACTTGTTTTTGTTTTTGTTTTTTTTGTTCTTCTTCTCTCTCTCTTTCTTTTCCTTGGGGCGAAAGTCAGACAGTATTGTTAAAAAAAAAAATCCTCATGGGGAAAGAAACCTTACAGATAACTATATATATACTTTTTAAATTTAATTTTATTTTTATTTTTTATTTTTTTCAGAGACAGCTTCTCGCTTTGTTGCCAATAGGCACTGGAGTCCAGTGGTGAGATCATGGCTTGCTGCAACCTTGATCTCCCAGGCTCAAGTGATCCTCCTACCTCAGCCTCCCAAGTTACTGGGACTAATAGGCACATGCCACCACACCGAGCTAATTTTTATTTTTCACAGGATCAGAGTCTCACTGTGTTGCTCAGGCTGGTCTCAAACTCCCGGTCTCAAGCGATACTCCAGCCTCAGCCTCCCAAACTGTTGAGATTACAGGCATTAGCCACCACACCCAGCCTTAAATTATATGTTTATCTAACAAATCCATTACTTTTTCCCTGACCCATCTCATTCTTTTTTCCTAGTTTGCTACTACATCTTTTAAATATTTCCTATCTATTCCTTTTATCAATGCCTCTCACCAACCAAAAACACAAGCATTTGAACTTCTGTCTGTCTGGGCAGGTTATTTTGTTTCCTTCATTGTACCTGAAGATTATTTCCACTCAACAATCCAGTAGACTGCCAACTCTGTAAGGACATCTTTTCACTGCTATTACTCCAGCCCCTAGAACAATACCTGACACACGATAGTCATGCAATAACTTTCTTTTTCCTTTACTATATAAATATTTTTTATTATATGCAGTAACATAAAATATGCATAACAAAATTACCATTTTAGTTGGCCATTTTTAAGTGTACAGTTCAGTGGCATTAAATACATTTACATTTCAATAATTTTCTTTTGAATAAACAAATGAACAGTCATACTGGTTATTTGTGCTTGAAAGTTACCAAGAGCCAGATGGTAACATTGGCCTTCTTTCCTGCAGATGAAGTTATACGGAAGCGTCTCCTCATTGATGGAGATGGTGCTGGAGATGATCGGAGAATTAATCTGCTAGTGAAGAGTTTCATTAAATGGTGCAACTCTGGGTCCCAGGAAGAGGGGTATTTCATTTCACTGTTGTTTCCATACCAATGTCCTAATGTGATTTTAGGCCATATATTGAGGTCCTGTGAATAGATCAAATTTTCACTCACCTTAAATGTCCAGTGGAGTCAACTCTTAATCGAGAGTAGATTTTCTTGGCCTTTTCTTCTCTTCAAAGGCCTCCCATATGTTTATTAAAACATGGAGAAGGAGGATTGAAGGAGAAATGAAGATTAAATTCAGACTCATTAGTTTGGTTACTTTTATGATATAAGTGTTTAATAGGATAAAATATCTAAATGGAATTTTCTCCTTTGCTAATAAAAGGCTACCGCTATGTATGTATATATTAAGTTGACACGATTAACCGCGATTAGTTTTGCACCAACCTGATACACACACACACATACACATACACACACACACACACACACACACACACGTATATCTAATTTTTTTTTTTTTTTCTTTGAGACAGAGTCTCATTCTATTGCTCAGGCTGTAGTGCAATAATGGCACAATCTTGGCTCACTGCAACCTCCACCTCCCAGGTTCAAGCAGTACTGGTGCCTCAGCCTCCTGAGTAGCTGGGATTATAGGCAAGCACCACCATGCCTGACTAATTTTTGTATTTTTAGTAGAGATGGGGTTTCACCATGTTGGCCAGGCTGGTGTCAAACTCCTAGCCTTAAGTGATCTGCCCACCTTGGCTTCCCAAAATGTCAGAATTACAGACATGAGCTACCATGCTCAACTATATTTATTTATTTTTTAACATAGTAAACTTTTCCTCATTTGAATTTGCTTTCCATATAAATGATTTTATAGAGTGAAAAAATTGTGGGAACAGAACTGTGAAGTTAAAAAAACATCTTAAAGTATTTTTTAGTCTTTTAAACAAAATTCAAATAATTGTTTGAATAAAACGTGTATTGATAAGAACAGCAGTCCCATCTTTGCATTTGTAACTAAAGTAGTTAAATTCAAGAATACTACATTTGATAAAAAGAAAACTTAAGGGACAGATATTCTAAATTATTTTAAATAAGCAAATGATTCTCTCAGAACTTGGTATAATTTAATTAGCAAATATTTGCCTGCATTATAACAGTTCATTTTTGTCAATCCACAAGCATCCTTATTTTGGTTTTCTCTCTTTTTCATTAGGTATAGCCAGTACCAACGTATGCTGAGCACGCTGTCTCAATGTGAATTTTCAATGGGCAAAACTTTACTAGTATATGATATGAATCTCAGAGAAATGGAAAATTATGAAAAAATTTACAAGGAAATAGGTAAAGAATCTTAATGTTTCTATCTGTAATTTTATTTTTTATGGTCTAAAGGAAACAATATCTGCTAACAATTTTCTTTGATTGGTGGTAAAAGAATAATAACAATTACTGTATTAATGGAAAGAATACAGTAAATGTTAGCTATAAAAATGCATATTCTAACATGATATAGTACTTTGGGTTACAGCTGTTTTTTTAAAATACTAGTGTCTATTTTGTTACCAATAGAATTTAATTTATAAATGCATTTTAAAATTAAAAATGGATTATTGATTGTGTTACCACTATCTTTTAAAAACCTTCTCATATAGAATGTAGCATAGCTGGAGCACATGAAAAAATTGCTGAGTGCAAAAAGCAAATTCTTCAAGCAAAACGAATACGAAAAAATCGCCAAGGTAAGGGTTTTGAGGGATTTAATGTGCAAATACATTATTACTGACTACTATTTTCATGCAGTTTTTAATGTTGTGAGGTATAATCTGCAGCCTGAATCAACCTTGATTTAAAAAAAAAATCCAAATTTTAATTCCTTAGAACTATATTATTCTTTAAAATACAGAAGGAGGTCTGTGTTGAAAAGAATGTTTTTGCTGGATTATGTTGATTATCTAAGTATTTCTTTTGTTTTTCTCTTTTTTTTTCTTATCCCAGTATTTCTTAAGTATTAAATTTTTACCATCTTGGACCCTTTTGCCTAAATAATGTTATAGTTAATCAGCAGAGGCGATTTACATAAATATACTAGATTTATGGTTTGGGTTTTTAGTTTGTTTGTTTAATAGAGCTACTTTCCAAAAAATGAAATGGAAAGGAATTTAAACTCTGTGAGTTTTCATTAAGTACAAAGCAAGCAAACATTTCTAGACGGCCTACAATATCTAATAAGAAGGTTAAAGTTGAGTTTTGTTATAATCTCTTGTTTTTAAGTTAGAGTATATACTTATGTAGTTCCTAAATACTATTTCAAGACAATTTTTAATGTTAGAGGCAATGCTGTTCTTAAAATGTAAATTGAAGAAAAATAAAAATAAAAAATATAATGTGTGATCACAACTGTTACAACTTTTCACATTGATGTGAAAAACTAGAAGAAAATAGAAAATGTTAATGGTTATTTTGAAGTTGTGAGTTTTTATGGCTTAGGTTCTTTTCTCTGTTTTTGTTTTGTTTTGTTTTACATAGGGCATGTATTATTTTGTAATTCAAAAAATTTGTGTTAAAAGAATCATACTTTTATTGAATTAATATGCTCAGTTCTAAAACAATGAATGTTCACTTTTTAATGAACTAATTAAGATGAAGCTTAATTTCCTCTTTTTACAAGTTGTTTTTTTCAGTTTAAAATGTGTATGGTGAAGTTTTGGTGCCCTATTTACAGTAAGACATACCAACTTAGTATCAGTTCAAAAGTCATTTAAAAATATTTGGAGTGTTTTCGTTGGTTAATGAGGTTTTTAAGTAAATCCTGCCACTCATCACTCATCACTTCATAAGAAAGGTTAACAGAAGTTACATGACTTATCTTGGAGGTCTCAGTGGAGCAGAAAGTAGAACCTGAATTTTAAGTTATTTGCACGTTTCTGAAATCTTAACTTTTGGAATGAGTGAGAAGTGTAATTTGCTGTTGACTAACAACTCAAACTAATGGTAGGATATATTTACTGATTTTATTTTATTTTATTTTATTTTTTAGACAACTAGTGAGTAAGATCCTTCTCAGAATCAGTCTATTTGATAATCAATAATAACTTAAATTTGCTTATGCTTATGCTGACCTCTTATATTCTGTCCACGACATATAAATGGAAAAAAAGTGGGAGCTAAAACCCCTGTTTGGAACACTTTTGATGTTGTGTATCATTATAATTATAACTCAGTCAACTAAAACTGGCAATACTCATCTTTCAATGATTTCATTTCTTGATATACTAGGGAAGTGATTAGAAGAGGTTTGTGATATTATACATTTTTGTTGATATTATACATTTTTGTTTTGATAATTCATATTCAAAAAACCCTTAGTTTGATAAATATTTTTATGTCTTTCAGAATATGATGCTTTGGCAAAAGTGATTCAACACCATCCAGACAGGCATGAGACATTAAAGTAAGTGTAGAGTTTTACTTTGAAAGGAACTAACCTTTATACATAAATGCTCATAAACTACCCTAGGCATTTCATTTTTTGCAGAATAAATATGTTTCAAAAGGAGGGGTCAGATCTTCAATATTATATTTTCCCATACTTCTCTGTTAAATTTTATTTCCCTCTGACCTTACCACTTATATGTCTGAAATAAATGCATGTAATATTCATTAATAGCACAATGGACAAATAGAATATGGTCTTCATATATTAAAATACTGAATTTCAGTTAAAAACAATAAACTAGTTATGCCCTTTTAAAACACAGCTCTCAAAACATAGTGAAAAGACACATAATAAATTTTAAATTATTACTACATTCCTGAAACAAAGAATAATAACCATTTATAAAAGTTAGAACCCCCTTTCAAATATTATATACCAATACTGTATATTATTCAGAGATACAAGTATATGCATAAAAAAGAATTAGAATGATATAGTAGTTGCCTGAGTGGGAGGTAGAGGAGATAAAACAGCCCAGGATAGAGGTCTAGAGGTAAGATTCAAAGGATATTTCAGGTTAATTGGCAATGTTTTATTTCTTTTACCAAAAAAAAAAAACCCTTGAAGTTAAGCTTCACAATATGTATCATTTCTTGGGTCTTGTTATTTTATTATCTGTGTTTTTCTGTACTTTAAAAATGTATCCAAAAATGTAATTTTAATGAAAGTAAATCCATATTTAGAAGTTAAGAAGAAATCATCCCCAGCTTCAGAAGTTTCACCATAGTGGAGTGTTATAACTCCTTATAAGTCTTTTTTTTTTTTAATTTTAAAAATCCTATCTAGTAACTAAAAAGTTAGGTATTAATTGTAATCTCTTTTCCCCCATTCAGCAAAATGTAACACTGTTTTATTTCCAGGGAACTAGAGGCTCTGGGAAAAGAATTAGAGCATCTTTCACACATTAAAGAAAGTGTTGAAGATAAGGTATTTGCACATATATTTAGCCTTTGTGATCTGTCTATCTGTCTGTCTATATATCTATATATATAGGTCATCATTTGTATAAATTTTTTCTTGTTAACACAGCTGGAATTGAGACGGAAACAGTTTCACGTTCTTCTTAGTACCATCCATGAACTTCAGCAAACATTGGAAAGTAAGTAGAAATAGTCTCAAAATAAATGTTTATGAAGATTTTTTAAATGACCCAGGAATGTATCTTTTGAAATATGTATCTTGGAGAGAGAGTATACCTTCTATTTCTGAACAATATAGCTGGATGACGTTAGAAGGTACTCAAGTTCAACTTTCTTGAATATATGTAGAAAAGTCATAATTTGTGGTAATATAGGATTTAAAGATATACATAGTGGTTTAAATTAAGAAAAATTCAAGGATGATAGATTTGGAATCTTTCTTGGTTGACTGTAGTTGATTACTATAATGTAATAACTCAGGACCCAGGCAGGCAATAATAAGGAATCAGTACATAAGAACATTTGCATACCCACTGAGTGGTGGGTACTTTGGAGAACTGGAGACTTGCTCTTTATATTCACTGTAGACAGTTAGAAATTTTTGTATTACCTGATCTTTTGATTGTTTTAAAGAATAGCCTAAGACCCAGATTTTTTTTTTTTTTTTTTTTTTTTTTTTTTTTTTTTTTTTTTTGAGACAGCCTTCCTGTCACCCAGGCTGGAGTGCAGTGACACAATCTTGGCTTACTGCAATCCCCACCTTGCAGGCTCAAGTGATTCTCATGCCTTAGCCTCCCAAGTAGCTGGAATTACAGGTGCATGCAACCACGCCCAGCTAATTTTAGTATTCTTAGTAGAGATGGGGTTTTACCATGTAGGGTAGGCTGGTCTTGAATTCCTGACCTCTAATGATCCACCTGCCTCGGCCTCCCAAAGTGCTGGGATTACAGGTGTGAGCCACCAGACCCTGCCCAGATTTTTTTTTTTTAAAGTGAAATCTATCACATAAATTTGAAAGTTTGATTCAACTAGTAGCCATCTTTGCTTTAATTGTATTGGCTAATACAGGATAAACATGTTTTCATGTGTTCATTGAATATAAAACATAGGCAAACTTGATTAAGGTTTTATGTTTCCTTCTCAATTACAGATGATGAAAAACTCTCAGAGGTAGAAGACGCTCAGGAAGCAAGCATGGAAACAGATCCTAAGCCATAGACAAGCTAATCGCCCACCACTCCCAGGAATATTGAAATAGCTACGTGACCATAATGTGTTTAAAATGTGGTGTGCTCTTGAGATATTTAAAGTTTTGGCAGTAAAATACTCTGTTTTTAAATATGAATGTGTATTTCATTCATATTTCCTCACACAAAGGAAAATGACTTCAGTATAGATTTGTTTTTATTAAAATGCATTTTTTTATTCTTAAGTGGTAGGAAGCAACATCCAAAAATGCTTAATAAAATGCTTTTAAGCTGGATATGTTTGTGCTCATTAATATTCCAGGTAGTTTTTAACTGGTAACATTGATTGGCTTACAAAATAAGTTGAAAATTGTTAGAAGTTGGCATTTCTAGGATGTACTGGGAAAATGGGCCAATTTCTGGAAATGGTTACACTTCTGAAAATGGAGTCTATGAAGAGGCTTTAGGAGGGCCATGAATCTGTGAAATTACATGCAAAATGTTTGTGGTGTATGCTTATTGTATAGAGAGGTTCCAGGCTGTTAAAAGTCACTGGTATGAGAGGTAATTATAAGATGCAAAGTAAAATAATGCGCATTACTTTCTATATCTCGCCTTAATATGTGAGGAATATAATTCTCAAATGTTTTGTTGATATCTTTTCTCTACTGTTTTGTTCTTTAGGAATCATTTTCAGTAGAAAAAAATGTACTGATAAAGTGAAGAGTTGTTTGAAGTAAATAGTTTGTTAAGATTGTCTTGCATAGGCCAGGCGCGGTGGCTCACGTCTGTAATCCCAGCACTTTGGGAGGCCAACGCAGGCAGATCACCTGAGGTCAGGAGTTCGAGACCAGCCTGACCAACACGAAGAAACCCTGTCTCTACTAAAAAAAATACAAAATTAGCCGTGTATGGTGGCACCTGCCTATAATCCCAGCTACTCAGGAGGCTGAGGAAGGAGAATCATTTGAACCCAGGAGGCAAAGGTTGCGGTAAACCAAGATTGCGCCATTGCACTCCAGCCTGGGCAATAAGAGTGAAACTCCATCTAAAAAAAAAAAAAGATTGTCTTGCATAAAGAATTTATTATCTTTTTAAAAATTAAGCTAAGGCTGAATCACTTGTGATTTTCTTAAGTATTTCATTATACGTGTAATACTTGTTCGGCTCCATCCTTATCCATTTATTTTAGTTAAGAAACATGACACTTTGCATGAATCATACCTTAATAATGTTATATTTTTGTAATTTTAATAATAATTTTTATCTTAAAAATGAAAGTTTAAAATTAGCGCAGTTGTAGTCATATTAAAAGTGTCATAATACCTATAAATACTTCCTCTAATTTCATCTGGCAAGTCATGGGAGAAATTTCTTTGCAGAATTGCTATGCTGTGACAAATGTTTCTATTTTCCATTATTAGTAAAAATTATGAAACAACAATTTGCCTATATTGACTCAGAATTAAAAATCAATTTTTTTTTTCTTTTCTGAGACAGGGTCTTGCCCTGTCATCCAGGCTGGAGTGTAGTGGCTTGATCACAGCTCACTGTAGCCTTGACCTCCCAGGCTTAAGCAATTCTTCTATGTCAGCCTCCCAAGTAGCTGGGACTACAGGCAACACATCACCATACCCAGCTAATTTTTAAAAGTTTTTTGTAGTAAGAGATTCTCACTATATTGCCCAAGCTGGTCTCAAACTCCTGGGTTCACGTGATCCACCCACCTCAGCCTCCCAAAGTGCTGGGAGTATAGGCATGAGCCACTGTGCCCCAGACAAATACCAGTTTTTCAAAAAAGATATTTATTTTTTAAAGGACTATTGGGTAGAATTTTTTTTAAATGCTGTCTCCCCATCCCCACCCCCGTTGATTAATTCACTAGAGAGATTTTTTCAGGATTAAGTAAAGATAAGAGTCTCTTGGAAGATAACTTTTATTTATTTATTTTTGAGATGGAGTCTTGCGCTGTCACCCAGGCTGTAGTGCAGTGGTGCGATCTCGGCTCACTGCAGCCCCTGCCTCCCAGGTTCAAGCAATTCTCCTGTCTCAGCCCCCCGAATAGCTGGGATTATAGGCGCCTGCCACCACACCTGGCTAATTTTTGTATTTTTAGTAGAGATGGGGTTTCACCATGTTGGCCAGGCTGGTTTTGAACTCCAGACCTCAAAGGATCTGCCTGCCTCGGCCTCCCAAAGTGCTGAGATTACAGGCGTGAGCCACCACACCCAGCCTAGGGAAGATAACTTTTAAAGAATCAGGAACAAAGTCAGAAGCAGCAGCAGCAGGTACATGGGAAACACACATTTTTAAATTTATACTTCCTCATGGTTCTCTTGGATATCCTCTGGAACTGTTTAGAAGACTGAAGAATTTCATCCCCCAGAAACTCACACCGTTGAAGCTCAGCATGTCTTTGGGCCAATAACTTCATGGATTTATCAGTCACTGTTTCTATGAGGTCATCCACCTATGACAGATAAATACCAAGAAATGAAGCCATGTTTTGGAAAGCCTTGTCAAAATCAAAGGGATAGTTGCTTTTCCCAAGAGAAGAGTTCTGGAACTGGTGGACATTTTGCAAGTCTTAAAATATTATTCTAATTCAAGTCATAGCAAATGGAGCTTGAAAGCGTACATTTACCACCCAGTGATAAAGACGATCTCAGTTCTTCTGAAAAGAAACCTATGTATATGCCTTCACTTTAATTGAATTCATTTAATATTTATCAGGTACACAGCATCATCCTAGGTGTCCTTAGCAATCCTTTAGCCACTTTCAGAATGCCCCCCTACTAACATTATTTCTTAATGCTAATCATTAATTTCATCCCACCCATGCTGTCTAATAGGGCTGTGCGTTTGGTTAAGCCTGGTTCTCTGATGCTTCTGAGATTCAAAAGTTAAAAGCCTTTGTCCACTACCTGCATTTGAAGCTTTCCTACTGTCAAATCTGATTTTCGAAGGATGTTTTTCATGCCATGCTTCTTTTTAAGTGCTGGAAAGTGTGGTCTCTTTTTTGGTGAATATGGCCCCTATGGTAAAAATGCAAAACACATCAGATTAGGAACTACCAACATTATTTTTGTGATGGTGCTTTAACAGGAGTTCTCACCTTCGGGACATTCTCTTATAAACTGAACATTTGCCACATAACAATATTGGGTTGGAGGCTGTATTCATATTATTCTCCACACCCAAGTATCTTCTTTGTGCCCAGAGCTCTCTTTGAAGAGATCTACAGGGTGCAGAGAAATGAGATTGTCTGACTCTGAAAGAATATACAGCATCAGGAAAAAAGCAGGTCTGCAGGTCTTCATAAGGGGAAGAAGAAGAAATTGCCTCTGCAGCTGCCGGGCACAGTGACAGTGTGGGGCCGTTGTGGACCAGTGCCCCAGAAAGCTCATTATCAGTGAATCTAGTTGTTAATTTGGTCTCGTTTCTGCAGGTTTCCTTATTTTCATGGCAGTCATATATTCAAACATAAAAAGAAAGCTCTGGGTTCTTTTCACCCCATGCCTGATACTTTTCCCATTATCCCTGGCTTACTGGTTACAAGTACCTGTCCTAATAGTGTTGCAATTGGAAATCATTCCCAGGTCATGGCTCCAAGCTAATACGCCCTTTTTAGTCTTATTGAGTTTACTCTTCCTTCCCCTTGTGCTTAATAATTCACATTAGGACTATTGTGAGACCTACACAAAGTAGGATATGGGACCAGATCTGGGTCCTACCCTTTGCCTTTACAAATGGAGTCTGCTGAACCACTGCTACCCTGCCAGCTTGCCCAGCTCAAATGTCACTTGCAGAATCTTCCCTGATCTAGCTAAAGAAAGACCCCTCTTTTTTCTCTTTCATAAAATCCAGTACTTTTTCCTGTTAAGCACCTAGCATACTAGCATACTTGGCAGTTACTACATTATGTCTGTGTTTATTGAATACAACTACGGCAAAATCTAGTGCCTAGGCAAGTTTTGCAAAGCAGGACTAGTTGGGGCTGGTATGGACTGAAGAGAACACACCTCCTGCAGTACCTTGGTGCAGCTCCTGCTTGTTGCCTTGAGGAATTGGCCTAGTATTTTCAAATCTTTTTATTTTTCAAAAGAAAGTTGAAAACCCAGAATTTTATTTGAAATATCCTAATTTTTAAATGTGGACAATTAATTCAAATACATATATAGATTTTAAGATGAGGTCTCACTCTGTTGCCTGCGCTGGAGAGCAGTGGCATGATCATGGCTCACTAAAGCCTCAACCTCTGTAGGCTCCAGTGATCCTCCCACCTCAGCCTCCTGAGGAGCTGGGACTAAAAGTGTACACCACCATGCCCAGCTAATTTTTATATTTTTTTGTAGAGGTGGGGTTTTGCCATGTTGCCTAGGCTGGTATCGACCTCCCGAGCTCAAGTGATCCTCCCTCACCAGCCTTCAAAAGTGCCAGGATTATAGACATGAGCCACCACACCCAGCCAATTCAAATACATTTTTGAGAACATTCTGAGGGCTAAACAAACCATTTTCATAGCTAGTTGACAACCTCTGATCTAACACGATTTGATGGAAAGAAATTCTTAATCATAGCCAAATTGCCCCATCTTTATCTTTATGGTTAGTGTTATGTGTGTCCTAAAAGTCTTTATGCTGAAGTCATGAAGATATTCTTATTGTCCTCCAGGAGTTTTAAGGTTTCTGCCTTTTCCACTTAAATCTATAACTGAACAGAAATTAATTTTTGTATATGGTGTGAGACAGGGATCAATTTTCATTTTTTTCCTATATGAATGCCCACTTGTTCCAGCAACATTTGTTCAAAAGATTATCCTTACTCCACTGCTGTGTGGCACTATGGTTTAATGTGTATCTCCTCTATTTGATTGTAAGTTCCACAGAAGCAAGACCATGTCCATTGGATCACCCTATACTCCCCACCCCAAACCTACAAACTGCCTAAAACATAATATGGGCACACTAAATACAAACCTAGCACACAAAAGGCAAAAATTCAAAACTAATATCAGTGCACTCTGACAGTGGTGTTCCAGAGCAGTACTGTTCAGTGGAACTTTCTGTGAAGATGGAAATGTGCTGTGCTCTATCTGTGCTGTATAGGACAGCCACTAACTAGGTGCAATTATTGGCCATTTGAAATGTAGCTAGTGCAACTGGGGAACTGAACTTTTAATTGTATTTAATTTTAATTAACATAGGTAGTGACATTCAGCTATTGACTAGCATATTTGGACAGTACAGTTAGTCTATAGCATAGCAATTACTACTAAGGACTCTAGAGCCAGGTCTTCCTGGGTTTGAAACTTGGCTCTGTCACTTACATGGGCAAATTACTTAAACACTCAGTACCATCCCTAAAATAAGGATAATATTGCTACCTACATTATAGGGCTGTTGTAAGCATTATCCGAGTTGATATTTTTAAAGCACTTAGAACAGAATTTGGAACATAGCTTTAAGGTAAGTCTTATATCTAAAATAATAATAGTCCATGGTTCTATTTTTGAAAAACAGACTGGGCAATTTAGGATCAAACATACATGCATGGCCGGTCACAGTGGCTTACATCTGTAATTCCAGCACTTTGGGAGACCAAGGCAGGTGGATCACTTGAGACCAGGAGTTCGAGACGAGCCTGGCCAACATGGCGAAACCCTGTCTCTACTAAAACTACAAAAATTAGCCAGGCATGGTTGTGCATGCCGGTAGTCCCAGCTAGATAGGAGGCTGAGGTAAGAGAATTGCTTGAACCCAGGAGACAGAGGTTGCAGTGAGCCAAAATTGTGCCACTGCACTCCAACCTGGGCGAGCGACAGAGCGAGACTCTGCCTCAAAACAAACACACAAAAACCCATGCATACCTATGGATAAGTAAAAGCATTGGTTTGGAGCGTCCTAGATCATCTACACTGCATTTTCTGTGTTGTACATATGGCTATTTACATTTTAATTTCAATGAAAATTAAGATTAAAAATTCAGTTCCTCAATTGCACTGACCACATTTCAGTGTGGCTAACAGCTACTATATTGGACAATGTATACTTGCATCTTCACGGAAAGTTGCATTGGACAGTGCTGGTCTAATGAGTTCCACTCCACATAGTATGCACAGATAGGCCAGAATGCTAATATACTAACATTTGAAGAGTGAGAAAGTCAGTTACAAATATCCAAACTCCACTGTTGCCCAGATGTAGTAGAAGCTGAACAGTTTGAGCATAGAAGTAGAAGAATCTGACCCAGAGAGTACCCTAAATTCTTGGAGATGAGACAGAAGCAGCAGATTTAAAGGCTTATCGTGGAGGACTTATGGTAGGACAGAACTTGGTTTTCACAAAATCTCTAAACATTGAGTTATATGTAAGTCTTTAGAGGCAAATTTGTTTAGCGTTTTACCTTTTGTAGTCCTGAAGGAAGAGATGTCACAGATAACCGCTTGGTGGTTCTCCTGGCCCGAAGGAGTGTATTTCCCTGGGTTATCTCCTCTGTCTCTGCCTCTACAACATCAAGTTGTATAGTCGCTTAGAGAAAGGGGGAAAAAGGAATCTGTAAGGATCACAATGAGGAACACATTTTTCCTATTAAAAATACAGTATTCTTAGAAGACAGCATCACATGCTGCTTCAGTGGCTTTTTTTCTTTAGAGTTAAAAATAAAAAATGGATTTGCTCTTCCCAATCTTACATTTTCTCCTGCCAACATTTGCCTTTTGTTATGGTCATGACCTCAGTGGACACCAGCCCAATCTTTGACAACGTAGCCACCTCTCTCTCTCTTCGAGATTTAAGTTTTTCCCCTGAACCATTGTGGAATTAGAAAAGTAATCCTCTACTATGCAAGACCCTCTCTTGGGTATTCATTGTGGATTAAAGCAAATTTTCTCTCTATTTTCAAGAAATGTGGCTCAAGACTCAGTCATTTACATATCATTGATTCATCTTTCCTATATCCAGGAGCCAGGGAACCTTGGATTCCTTAACATTTTAAAACATATCAATTCAGTGCTTAACTCAATAAATGTATTTATAAAGGAAACTCTAAAACACTACCATAAATTTAAGACTAGTATCATAAATAGGCATTAAAATCACTATGCTAAAAACAAAGCTATGTTATTTTTTGCAGAAGGCACTAAACCTAAGATTACTCTCTTTTTCTTTTTTTTTTTCTTTTGAGACAGAGTCTCCCTCTGTCACCCAGGCTGGAGTGCAGTGGTGTGATCTCGGCTCACTGCACGTTCCGCATCCTGGGTTCAAGCTATTCTCCTGCCTCAGCCTCCCGAGTAGCTGGGACTACAGGTACTCTCTTTTTCTTAATAAAGGGGGTCACTAAATGAGACATTTTCCTTGATGACAGCATTGGGGAAAGTGTGTTTGCAATTTGCTGTGTGTTACGCCGTTCCTTCATGCTGTGTGCACACCTAAAATCATCTTGTTGCTTAAAGTCTACTGATAAGGACTTCTCTGGGACCCTCAGAGAATACATTAGCCTACTTGACACCTCCACTTGGCTATTCGGCAGGGACCTCAAGTCAGCAAGTCTAGCCAGAACTCATGACTTATTTTTCAATCCAGGTCCATTGCTCCTTATCTTAGTGAATGATGCCTCCACCTTCAAAGCAAGTGGTCAATCCAGAAATTCTTCCCTCTCCCCCACCCTTCACTGTCCAACTCTTCCCCAAATCTTGTAACTTCTATCTATGCTTATTTCTCCCTTTATCTCCCCATTCCCACTGTCATGACTAATCCAAGCTAATGTCATTCTTTGCCTGAAAGAATGTACGGGTGCTTATTGTTCTTCCTGCATTTGTGCTTACCCTCATCCAATGCAATCTACACTATGCAGCCAAAGCTATCTTTTAAGAATGCAAATCAGATTATATAAATCCCCAGCTTGAAAGTACCCAATGGTTTCTTATCACCCTTAGAAGAAAGTTAAAAATTCTCAATGTGTCCTATGACAGACACCCTTACTACCTAATTCAACCAGCCTCTCCTTAGCTCTCTGTGTTCCAACCTCTGCTGGATTTCTTTCATTCCTAAATTGTGCCTGGTGATCTCTTGATATTGTGACTTGAACATGCTCTCCCTTATTCCTGGGAAACTGTTCTCCCCCCTCCACCTTGTGTAAGCCATCCTTATGTCTTAGACATCCTTCAGATCTCAATTTAATTGTCCCTTCCTTGGGGAAGCCTTTCCTGAGACCCCTCCCCTAAAGTTAGAGCACCCATGATTTCTTTCAATAGCATCCTGTGCTCCTTTGGAACAAATGTAATTTTCTGCATGTTTGAAAGCCCCTCTATGCTATAACTCCATGAGGCAGGGACCATGGCTGTTTTATGTGCTACTCTATCCAAATATTGTGGCTGTCATATAATAAGTACTTAGCAGATATTTGTTAAATATATAAAAACATGTTTTGAAGGTCAGCGGGGAAGAGCAACTGATTTTGGGCTACAACAAAGGGTATTAATGTTTGAACTACATCCTAAAGGATGAGTATATTTTCTGGAGAAATCTTAGTTGATATTTGTTATTCCAACTAAGACAAAAATAAACCAGTGCACAGATTAAGAGTAGAAATTTGATCCTCTGTTTTCTGCTGGATTCTTCAATTCCAGCCCCAGCAATATAGAAGCATATCCTCTTTGTTATTTTCAACAGAAATATACAGCTCAATCCATACCAGGTAATTGCTAGATGCTTGGATGCTTGTATTAGTGACTGCTTTTTCCAGAACAGAGAGTTTGTTTGAAATTAGTCGGCTGGAAACCACCAAGATTTTCTTTTTTTTTTTTTTTTCCCTGGGAAAAGCACACATCAGTTTTGTTGCCTGATCATGGTGTGTAAAATGTGAAGTTGTATGTATATTTACATACACTATAAGGGCTGTGTGTTTCCTGATTCTGTGCTGTGAAGGACATTAAAAAGCTACAGAGGATATATAAAGCAGTGAAATTATTCTGTATGATACTGTAATGGTGGATGCCTGTTATGACAGGGTATGACATAAAAGTAGGTATTTGTCAAATCCCACAGAACTGCACAATATAAAGGGGGAACCATAATGTAAACTATAACTTCAGTTAATAATAATAATATATTAATATTGGTTCATCGATTGTAAATGTACCACACTAAGGCAATATGTTAATAATAGGAGCTGTGGGGATCAGGGAAGGGAAGGTATACATGGGAACTCTACATTTTCTGTTTAATTTTTCTGTAAATATAAAAGTGCTATAAAAATAGACTCTTTCTTCTTTTTTTTTTTTTTTTTTTTTTTTTTGAGACAGGGTCTCTTTCTGTCACCCAGGCTGGAGTGCAGTGGCACAATCTCAGCTCACTGCAATCTCTGCCTCCCAGATTCAAGCGATTCGCCCACCTCAGCTCCCCTAGTAGGGACTACGGGCACATGCCACCATGCCTGACTAATTTTTTTTTTATATTTTTGGTAGAGATGGTTTCACCAGGTTGCCCAGGCTGGTCTCAAACTCCTGGGCTCAAGTGATCCACCTGCTTCAGCCTTCCAAAGAGCTGGGATTACAGGCGTGAGCCACTGCTCCCAGCCTAGACTCCATTTATTTTTTGAAAAGCTACAGATGAGAATGCAAACATTGGTAGTATTGTTAGTCATGACCCATAGGATGCCAAATGGCATTATTACTAGTTGCAAAAATGACTTAAAATTAACAGTTCAAATATTGATTCTTCCACACAGTACATAGAAAGTAGATGCAATAAAAGTGAGCATTCTTTATGACTTACCAGTTATACATTTTTTTCATTTAATTTCCACTACCCCCTCCACTGTTAGAAGTAGCCATGTGAAAGTCTGCATCACTACTTTTTCCAGAAACAAAACAAAAATCCCGCTTGAGTTTGATTTTCATATATATATAAATTATATATAATGTATATATGAATATACACACACATATATTTAAATAAAAAGTGATTTTAAACTGATTAGAAAACTGTTTAATTGAACTGGGAGGAACCTCTAAGGCAATCCAATTCAGTGCTTCTCAAAAGGTATGAACAAGGTGAGGCATGGGGCTCACACCTGTAATCCCAGCACTTTGGGAGGCCAAGGCAAATGGATCACCTGAGGTCAGGAGTTCGAGACCAGCCTGGCCAACAGGGTGAAACCTTATCTCTAGTAAAAATACAAAATTTAGCTGGGTGTGGTGGCACACTCCTGTAGTTCCAGCTACTCAGGAGGCTGAGAGAGGAAAATTGCTTGAACCCAGAAGGCAGAGGTTGCAGTGAGCCGAGATTATGCCTCTGCACTACAGCCTGGGTGATAGAGCGAGATTCCATCTAAAACACACACACACACACACACACACACACACACACACACACACACACACAGTATGAACATACAAGCCAACTGAGGATCTTGCTAAAGTGTGGCTTCTGACTCAGAAGGTCCCAGGTAGAGCCTGAGATTCTGCATTTCAGACAAGCTCCTCAGGGCTGCCATACTTTTGTAGCAAGATAATCCATCCTAATTTCACTCTTCCTCTTGGCCTCAACCCAGTGACAAATTGCCCGAATTTGATTACCATTCTCTGAAAGCTTTCTCATTTTTGCTGTAAATAACTTGGGAGATGGAAGCTCCTTGACAATCCTAGGGAGAAGGCTCTGCATGTTTGACAGTAGGGCTTCCTTATGGTCAGTGGAGCCCTCTTTGCTGGCACTTGCTAGCTTGCTTCTACACTTGTAGGACAGCATCCTCCCAAAAGCAGTCTTCACTTTCGTCATCAAATTCCTTTTCTGATTTTGTTGACTTTCATGAAATCCCATGTCACTATCACTGGATGACTCCTCTTTAGGGACCAATACATTTTGTTTTAGTAAGTTGGTAGACACAGCTCTATGCCATCTAAACAAAATAAAAATGACTCATATTAGGGAAACTAAAAAGTTAAAAATGAATAATTTGAATAATTAAAACACAAACCTCAAATGTGAACCAATTATACAATTCAGAAAAAAAAAATGAAATTGAAGACCAAGAATCAAATCACAGAAAAATAAAGCCAAAGCAACTACTTGGTGTTTTGTTATCAAATTATAGTAATCTGGCTGTTATTTAATTTAAACACAATACTGTTAGAGGTAGGTTATATTATTAGCTTCATTTTACTTATGAGTAAACTGAGACATAGGTTAAATTAATTGACCAAGGACTGAATGCAGACTTTAATCCAGGTCTGACTGTTGGAATCCATGAATTTACATTGGCAAATTGGCAATCTTATTTCAATGATAGTTTGAGATAGTTTTTGCTAGATTTGGCAGTTTCAAAGTGAAAGTAACAGAAGATGAGAGAGTCTGCTAGGGTAGTCAATAAGGAGTAAACTCCAAGGCCCCATAAATACTGCATTTACATAAAACACTCATTTAGATAACATACTATAAATTCATATATAGCGACTACGTGTACCATCTTCATAATTTTGGCATATTTTATTATATGCAATAGACTAAACAATAGACAACATTTCCTGATAGCTTTCTGTGTGCTCAACACTCTTCCAAATGCTTTCATGTGTATAATATAATTTAATCTTTATGTTCTCATCTCTACTTCACACATGAAGAAATTAAAGCTTGGAGAGGTTAAATATAATTTATGTCCAGATTATCTGATTCTGAGGTCTGTGTTGTTAACCACTATGCTAGAATATCACCTATACCGTGATACAATTATTACCTAATATTCTTCCTCAATTAACTATTTTTTGTTAGCTTCACTCCAAGTAATAATACCCATGAAATTTCGGTATTTTTTAAAATTAAAATTTTAATGTCGAGATCATTATAGTTTCACATGCAGTTGTAAGAAATAGAGGGAGGGGGCCGGGCGCGGTGGCTCAAGCCTGTAATCCCATCACGTTAGGAGGCCGAGGCGGACGGATCACCAGCTCAGGAAATCCAGACCATCCTGACTAACACGGTGAAACCCCGTCTCTACTAAAAACACAAAAAATTAGCCGGGCGTGGTAGCGGGTGCCTGTAGTCCCAGCTACTGGGGAGGCTGAGGCGGGAGAATGGCGTGAACCCGGGAGGCAGAGTTTGCAGTGAGCCAAGATCACACCACTGCACTCCAGCCTGGGTGATAGAGTGAGACTCCATCTCAAAAAAAAAAAAAAAAAAAAAAGAAAAGAAAGAAAGAAATACAGGGAGATTCTGTGTGCTCTTTACCTAGTTTTCCCAAATGGTGACATTTTGCAAAACTATATTTTCACAACCAGCATGTTGACATTGATACAGTCAGGATACGGAACATTTCCAGTAACACCAGGATCCCTCATGTTTTATAGCCACACCCACTTTCCACTGGTCCCCCCTTTCTTTTTTTTTTTTTAATTTAATTTTTTTTATTATACTTTAAGTTCTAGGGTACATGTGCACAACGTGCAGGTTTGTTACATATGTATACATGTGCCATGTTGGTGTGCTGTACCCATTAACTCATCATTTACATTAGGTATATCTCCTAATGCTATCCCTCCCTTCTCCCCCCTCCCCACAATAGGACCCGGTGTGTGATGTTCCCCTTCCCGAGTCCAAGTGATCTCATTGTTCAATTCCCACCTATGAGTGAGAACATGCAGTATTTGGTTGCCTGTTCTTGCAATAGTTTGCTGAGAATGATGGTTTCCAGCTGCATCCATGTCCCTACAAAGGACACGAACTCATCCTTTTTTATGGCCACATAGTATTCCATGGTGTAATGTGCCACATTTTCTTCATCCAGTCTGTCACTGATGGACATTTGGGTTGATTCCAAGTCTTTGCTATTGTGAATAGTGCCACAATAAGCATACGTATGCATGTGTCTTTATAGCAGCATGACTTATAATCCTTTGGGTATATACCCAGTAATGGGATGGCTGGGTCAAATGGTATTTCTAGCTCTAGATCCTTGAGGAATCGCCATACTGTTTTCCACAACGGTTGAACTAGTTTACAGTCCCACCAACAGTGTAAAAGTGTTCCTATTTTTCCACATCCTCTCCAGCACCTGTTGTTTCCTGATTTTTTCATGATTGCCATTCTAACTGGTGTGAGATGGTATCTCATTGTGGTTTTCATTTGCATTTCTCTGATGGCGAGTGATAATGAGCATTTTTTCATGTGTATGCTGGCTGTATGAATGTCTTCTTTTGAGAAGTGTCTGTTCATATCCTTTGCCCACTTTTTGATGGGGTTGTTTGTTTTTTTCTTGTAAATTTGATTGAGTTCTTTATAGGTTCTGGATATTAGCCCTTTGTCAGACGAGTAGATTGCAAAAATTTTCTCCCATTCTGTAAGTTGCCTGTTCACTCTGATGGTAGTTTCTTTTTCTGTGCAGAAGCTCTTTAGTTTAATTAGATCCCATTTGTCAATTTTGGCTTTTGTTGCCGTTGCTTTCTACTTATGGCTAGCCATAAGTAGAAAGCTGAAACTGGATCCTTTCCTTACTCCTTATACGAAAATTAATTCAAGATGGATTAGAGACTTAAATGTTAGACCTAAAACCATAAAAACCCTAGAAGAAGACCTAGGTAATACCATTCAGGACATAGGCATGGGCAAGGACTTCATGTCTAATACACCAAAAGCAGTGGTCCCCCCTTTCTTAAACTGGCATCCACGAATCTGTCTTCTGTGTGTGTAATTCTTGTCCTTTCAAGAATGTTATGTAAATGGAAATATACATCATGTAATATTTTGAGATACGCTTTTTTCACTCAGCATAATTCTCTGAGCATTCATCCAGGTTTTGTGTATTAATTGTTCATATCTTTTTATTGCTGAGTAATACTCCATTATATGAATGTACCACACTTTAACTACTCACTAATTGAAGGATATTTGGGTTGTTTCCAGTTTGGGGCTCTTATGAATAAAGCTGCTATAAGCATTTGTGTATAGGTTTTGTATGAACATAAGTCTTCATTTCTCTGGGTGAAATCCTAGGTTTTATATTATGCTATTACATTATATTAAATATATAACATGTATTTCTAATATGGATTAAAACAAATTTATAACCATTAACAATGTTCTTCATATATTACCTAAAATACCTCATGTACCATCATCAGTAGCATATGTACTACTCTCCAGGAAAACACTGTTCTAAACGGAACCCAAATCATTCAGCCTTTTTCTGTAATGATACATGGGGAGTAGTTCAGTGAGAGCCTAGACCCTGGAGTTCAATGGTATTGGTTCAACTCGGGACAATCCCCAACTCTGTGACCTTGAGCATGTTAGGTAACTTCTATAAGCTTTCATCTTCTCATTTGAAAATGGGCATAGTCTTTTCAGAATTGTGAAAATAAAGGGAAATAATTCATGTGTTTGGAACCTTAAAATGCATTCAATAAATGATACTTTTTATTACCATGTGGATCAGAACAATGCAGAAAATGTAAAAGGCAAGGAGAGAGCCCACACTAGAGGGCAAAATAAGAGAGAAGCTGGCAGCCTCCCTTCTGGGACCAAGGGCAGGGTTCTGCAAATTGTACATGTACGACTTCCAGGGGGTGCTATTCAATTTCATAGTTAGACTTGCGTATAGTTATTTTAATGATTTTATGGCAGGTGGCAGTAAAATGTCCTGAGGAGGGAGCACCATTTCCTAATTTGCCCAAAGATAACTTATGGGCTAGGATTAATCTCCCGTAAAGCCCTCTGAGATTCCTTTAATAATAATTTAATTTTTAAGTGATTCTACTACTATAAACATGTACACACATATACATACTCTGACACAGAACAACGCAAATACAATTTCAGAAGATTCAGGAATTTCGAAGACCGCTCATGTTAAAAGCCCAGTTCTAAGTCGTCTCAGAATCTCTAGAAGTTGTTTCCCATTCCCATCCTCCCCACTCTCATCTCCAATCTATCTAAAACGTAATTAACAAAGGTTATTTAGCTCCAGAGCCTAGGAATACAACTGCTGCGACTTCTGATACGAGCAGAACCCTCCCCTTTTTATGTTTTTTAATATTTTTGTGTTGGTACTGAATTTATTTGGTTGTATTGCTTCCCCCGGAGCTCCTACTTTTCACGGAAAGTGGAAATCTCTGCAGTATTTTATTTTGTCCATGGAAGTTCCTAAGCTTGGTCTTTGATGCTTCCAGGACTCATTAAAACACCTCACTTCTACATGTCTGAACTATAGTCCATGGACCTGGTAAGAAAGAAGCGCAAAGAAATTGGAAAATAAATCGCCACACTGATTTTCCAAATTAAAATATATTATATTTTGGATGTTTCATACCTGTCTGTAAGGTTTTGTCACTGACAAAAATATAGCAGGTCTAAGGCAGTTTTAACGTTAAATTAAACAATGTGTCCATAGTGAAATGTGATTAGTACATATTTCAGCAGCCCAAATTGCTGGGATAGGAAAAAGAAAGCACTGATCGTGGACATATTTTGAAAAATGCACTAATGACTTTTCAAACTAACAGTATTTTCATGGGATGTGAGATGTCTAAAATTCTGATGCTGAAATATCAACATAGAATCAGTACTTATTTTAGTCTCCTATGCCACATTAAAACTCAATTTCAAGTGTAAAGGAAATGTTTTCCCTGTTACAATAAAGACCTTTCTGATCATAAAATGAACCTTACATTGTCGCACTAGATTTCTTGATCCAATGCAGTACCCTCCCCAGCAATCCATCCAGAGTCCTCATTTTTAAATGTAATGCTTAAAAGGACATGCCACTATGCCAAACCCAAAGACTCTCATTTGACAGAAAAGGAAATGAATCTCTGTTACCTACCTTTCTATCCCCTTCCTTTTGAATGAGCCATTTTTCTTCTTGAGTTGCTGGAATCTTCGGCACTGTCCAACTTTTCCATAGGCAATCTTAAAGGGTTCTGGTAGATACAGCTGAGGTCGGGCCATTGCTGTCAACTTCACCTGTAGTAGCCGTTTTGGACTGTTTCAGTTCTCGAACTTACAGACTTCGATGCAAAATCATCTAGTGACTGAATGTACTGTCAAAGTGTGGGCTATTTGGAATAAAATATGTAGGAAATTTTTAGAGCCTTTCCCTTATTCCCTTCCAAGTGTCAGAGACATTATTTGTGGGACTGGCCCTGTTTACAGCTTCACAGAGGTCACCAATGATGTATTTGACTGAGCTGTGTGAAATTCCATGGACCTTTGTGGAATACTTCACAGATTCTTGAACAAGGCAAATGCAGAAATGATGATCTGATTGCATCAACACTGGCATTTGGATCGCAAAAAACAAAACAAAACAAAACAACAACAAAAAAACCACCCATGCACTAATTGACCACCACATTCAGAAGTCATATTTGACCTCTGAAGGGGAAGGCACCTATAGGAATACGAATGAGCTGTTGATTAACACAAGTTGAGCTTCTGTTAGATCTCTCAGCTACAGCTGGTGAATGTTCTCTGTGTCCTGTGGGGCACATGTGACAAGGCCAGTTGTTGTTTGGACATCTCAAAATGTACCCCAAGGGTGGTTTTCATTACATCTCAAAATGTACCCCAAGGGTGGTTTTCATTACATCTTGGAATTTTGTAGTGGTCTCTCAAAGTACATTGCTGAATTGAAGACCTTGAACCACCCCTCCCTTCCAACATTGCCCCGTTTATTTCGTGGTGAAGAGCAAATTCTGCCTGGGATGGAATTTCTCACCACAAGGTGGCAGCAGACACTAGGATTTAGTCCTGTCACTCTCTCGCGCTTTGAGTTGTTCAGTCAAATAACCAGATGCTTAACAAGAAAAACTCCTCTAGAAAGGTTCTGGGAGTTACAACAATTACTCTGCTTTCTGTGTTTGCATTAATCAATAATCTGGAGCACACTTCTCAAGCCTTCAAGTGCGCACAAATTTCCTGGAGGTCTTTTTAAGATGCAGATTTCGATACAGTACATCTGGGGTGGGATCCAAGAATTTGCACTCCTAACAAACCCCCAGGTGATGCTGATGATGCTGGACGGCACTTGGAGTAGTGAGGGTCTTCTATGTTTCAGTACTGGGGCAAAGAGCTTTAAAATGCTCTAGAATGAAGTGTATAATGTTGAGGGGCTAAGAGAGTGGATTTGGGAATTATGCCTGAGTTCTCATTTCTAGCTTAGCTATGTGACCTTGGTCAATTCATTTTAACCTATCCATACTTGTTTTCTCATCCCTAAAGTGGGACTAATCATAGTGCCCAAGTCATAGTTTTACAGCAAAATTCAAGTGAAATAGAAATTCTGCTGCAGCAGAGAATGAGACCCAGGAATCCATATTTTAGGAGAGTGGGTGCAGATGTTCCTCTGCCCCTTATTTGAGAAGCGCTGAAGTACAGTGTATCTAATATGCCTTGGCCAAATGGACATGTGCTCCTCCCTGGTCTGTTTTTCCTCATCTGTTGGCATCCTCAGAGCACAATAAGTAATAGGTGCTTGAATAAATGAATAATTTCTTTAGCAACAGGGCAATATTTTTCGTGTAATTATTGGCACCCCTGTCTGAATTCTGTTGTATTTAATCAATTATCTAGATAAATGAGATGAGTTTTATGCTAGGAAAGAGAGCTGTTTTTTATTTGTGCATGGGTGTCTATGTGCATGTCTGTGTGTGTGCATGTCTGCATGTATGTGTGTATGTAATAGGCTGAAACATTTGCTGCTGTGGCATCTGTGACAAAACTTGTACGTTCCCAAAGGAGTCCTGAAGCAGATGATAGAACTAGGAAGAGTGGGATGGGGGGAAAGAGTTGGAGTATAGAGAGACATCAATTTTGAGCTGTGTCTGGATTTACATTCTAGATCTACCCCTTCCAAGCTTATGTGTCCTTGGGCAGGTAACGAAAACCTCTTTGGACCTTCATTTTCTTGTTCATAAAATAGGAATAATAACTGCTACCTCCCAAGATTCTTTGAGTCATTCAGTCATTCGACAAATATTTGAATGCCTAGTGGTTGCCAGGCACCACCCTAGACACCAGGGATACTGCAGTGAACAACATACACAAAATCTCTGAACTCATATAACTTAATATGCTGTGGGAGACGCAGATGACAAACAAGGAAATGAACATTTTAATTTCAGTTGGTAGTAAATGTTATGAAGAAAGTAAAAGAGGATGATGGGATAGAGTGACTGAGGATGAGGAGTGACTTCAGATGGGGCATTAGGAAAGCCTGCCCAATGAGGTCATTGGTCCCGAATGCTGAATGGAGAAAAGAGCCAATCATGTGAAAATTTGTGTGACTCGGGCAGATGAAATAGCATGTGCCAAAGCCCAGAGGTGGAAGAAGCCCAGTGTCTTTGAAAATGTGGAAGAAAATGGCCAGGCGCGGTGGCTCAAGCCTGTAATCCCAGCACTGTGGGAGGCCAAGGGGGGCGGATCACGAGGTCAGCAGATCGAGAACATCCTGGCTAACACGGTGAAACCCAGTCTCTACTAAAAATATAAAAAAGTTAGCCGGGCATGCAGGCGCCTGTCGTCCCAGCTACTAGGGAGTCAAGATTGCGCCACTGCACTCCAGCCTGGGCGACAGAGCAAGACTGTCTAAAAAAAAAAGAAAGACAAATGTGGAAGAAAGTTAGGGTGGCTAGAGCAAAGAGGTAGATGTGTGATAAGCTGGAGAGGGCCAAACCTCTTGAGTCCTATGGATCAGATTAAAGATTTTTGTCTTGATCTTCAGAGCAATGGGGAGTTGAGGTTTTTTTGTTTTGTTTTGTTTTTTTGAAACAGCAACTTAATCTGTCACTCAGGTTGGAGTGCAGTGGCACCGTCTCAGCTCACTGCAACCTCTACTTCATGGGTTCAAGTGATTCTTGTGCCTCAACCTCCTGAGTAGCTGGGGTTACAGGCACGTGCCACCATGTCCAGCTAATTTTTTGTATTTTTAGTAGAAACAAGATTTCACCATGTTGTCCAGGCTGGTCTTGAACTCCTGAGCTCAGGTGATCCACCTGCCTCAGCCTCCCAAAGTGCTGGGATTATAGGCTTATGGAGGGTTTTTAGGGAACTTCTTCATATATTTGTTCGGGGAAATGGGATTCAGTTGTGAAGAAAATGACTAGAATCCTTGCCCAGGAATTACAATTCTAGTGGAGGACGCAGACACCAAATACGTTACCCAGTGGAAAATTTCTTCAGGTACTGATAAAAAATGCTATGAGAAAAACAGAAAAACAAAAACAAAATAAAAAAAAAGAAGAAGAAGAAAAGAGAATAAAAAATAAATAAATAAAAAGAAAAACAGGCCAGGCGCGGTGGCTCATGTCTGTAATCCCGGCACTTTGGGAGGCCGAGGCGGGCAGATTACGAGGTCAAGAGATCAAGACCATCCTGGCCAACATGGTGAAACCCCGTCTCTCCTAAAAATACAAAAATTAGCTGCGCATGGTGGTGCGCACCTGTAGTTCCAGCTACTCAGGAGGATGAGGGAAGAGAATTGCTTGAACCCAGGAGGCAGAGGTTGCAGTGAGCTGAGATCAGGCCACTGCACTCCAGCCTGGCGACAGAGCGAGACTCAGTCTCAAAAAAAAAAAAAAAAAAAGTAGAAAAACATGGTAGAAAGTGACTGGGAGTGGTCACTCCTCCAAAATGATCAATAAAGATTGCTTCAGGAGATGGTGTTTGAAGTGAGAAATTTAATGTCGAAAAAGAGACAAACTATGTTGAGATCTGGGAGAGGTATTTCCAAGGCAAAAAACTATGTGAGCAAAGGTTCACAGGCAGGTGCAAACCAGCGTGTTTGAGGGCAGGAAGAAGACCAGTGTGGCGGGAACATAGGTAACATGGGGAAGGCATAGTTATGCATATGTTTTTAAAGGTTGCTGTGTGCAGCTTGGAGAATACATTGGAGAGGAAAAAGTGAGTGTTGAAAAGTCATTAGGTAGGCACTTGGTCCAGGCCGTTGACAGATGGGGGTGAGGAGTACCAGAAGTGTGCAGATCCAGGTAATATGTAAGAAGTTAAATATTGAGATGAACTAGGATATGGGGGAGATACAGTTTGGATATGTGTCGCTGCCCAAATCTCACGTTGAAATGTAATTGCCAGTGTTGAAGGTGGGGCCTGGTGGGAAGTGATTGGATCATGGGGCAGTTTCTCACCCATGGTTTTGTACCATCCCCTGTTACTGTCCTCATGATAACAAGTGCGTTCTTGCAAGATCCGGTTGTTTAAAAGTGCGTGGCACTCCCCGCCCTCTCTCTTGCCCCTGCTTTCACCTAGTGATGTGCAAGCTCCCACTTTGCCTTCAGCCAGGATTGTGAGCTTCCAGAGGCATCCCAAAAATAGATGCTGGTGCCATGCTTCCTATACAGCCTGCAGAACCATGAGCCAATTTAACATTTTTTTCTAGTAAATTACCCAGTCTCAGGTATTTCTTTATAGTAATGCAAGAACAGTCAACTATAGGGGATTATAGAGTAGAGAGAAGGAGATACTAAGTTGGGGTGTTAAGTTGTTGCTGTAGTCCAGTGGTTTAACTAAAGGGGGAACAGTGGAACTAAAGAGAAGCGCACCCATTCAGGAGTCCTTCATCAGTCAACACTCCTTATCAACTACCCTTCACAGGACATGGCTTGGAGCTATGCCTGTGTGATCATTCCCTGGACATTTGTAAATGTCCCTCTGAAAAGCCAAAAAGCCAGCTGTAGCAGGAAAAAATCAGGTCAAAACACAATCTCCCTTGTTCTCAACATTATTCTTCCATTGAACATGTCTGAGATTGCATAATCCTATTCAGGTAACCATGACAACAGTTGACTTCTATTGAGATAGCAATTGATTGAAACCTCTAAGTCAGAGATTGCAAACATGAATACCTGCAGGAGCCAAGCAGGGAAATGTGAGAAGCAGTGGGTGGGGTGTAAAAGGGAGGGGTTGGAATTGTGGTAAACTGTAGAGTACTGGAC